GAAGCACACTCACTGGGCGGGGAGCTGCAGAAGCACACTCACTGGGCATTGTTTCCATTGCTCTCTTCATCAATGATCCCAGGAACAGCCTTTCCTGCCGCTCGGCTAATTTCCCTAAAAGGAAAACATTAAAATCTAATAAGCAAAGAAGTTGGGGAACTTCACACTGCCTTCATCAACAGTAAATATCAACTACACGAAAGGACACTGTATTTTAGCAGTTTTTAAAAAGTAAATAAAAGCACACACCCACATACCCACATTCTTTTCTGAAGTTTACAAAAATTACCATTAAGAAATTAGGCTTGGTCCAGGTATGGTGGTGTAGGCATTTATCCCCAGCACTAGGGAGGTAGAGGCAGATAGATCTCTGTGTGTCCAGACCAGCCTGGTCTACAGAGTGAGTTCCAGGCTACCTAAGGCTACATAGGATGTCTCAAAAAAACAAAGCAACAACAAACCATGACTATTACAACAAAAAACTTAGGCTGGTGCTGGAGTTCAGCTGGAAGAGTACTGGCCTAGCGCACACCAAGCCCTGAGTTCAATTCCTAGGACCACATAAACACAGTCCGGTGGTACACTCGTGTAATCTCAACACTTCGGAGGGAAGAGCAGCACAATCAGGAGTTCAAAGCTAGCCTGGGCTATGTGAGACTGACTCAAAAAAATTAAAAGAAGAAATCAACTAGACAAATATTTAGTTCAATTCCTTTTTTTGCGTTGTTTTAGGAAGAGAGGTTTAAAAAGAGGGAGGATACAAAGTTGGGAGGGGTGGGAAGATGGTGTGAATCTGAGGAATTAAGGGGAGGAATATGATTGAAACACATTGTATGAAATTCTCAAAGAATGAACATAAAATAAGGAAGGAAGGAGGGAGGGAATGAAGGAGGGAAGAAGGAAGAAGGTCTTCACATGGAACACTGGTTGGCAAGGTTGGTAGTCACTCTTTAGCCAAGACTGGCCTCAAAATTGAGCCAATCTTTTTGTATTATGCTCCCAGGTGTGAGGATTACAGGAGTGTTCAACCACACTGTCTCAGTCTCTCCATCTTCAGTCCGAAGGAAAGTGTCTATACCCTAGATCCACACTCTCCACTGTAAAACTAGGGTCAGCAGAGGACTTGCGGATGGCAAGCTCGAGTGTAGAATGAGTAATTTTCAACATGGGAAAAAGCTCATGGGACACCTGATACTGCCTTCTCATGTACCCATTTTCCAATTCCAAAAGCCCCTCATCTGTTTTAGGGTCCAGAGCAATGAAAGCTGACACAGTCTCAGTCTCCATGAGGTGAAATCAGGGTCAGTTCAGGCTGGGCATGGGGCCTAGGATGGCTCAAACAACAGAACTTGTAGCTACTACTCTTGTGGGAATGGTGAGACCAAATCATATCATGCTAGCTCTAGACACTGGCAAACAGTTATGAATTAGGGAACTTTAAAACTTGCTGGAAGGTAGCTCTGGAGGCACACAGTTGTCATTCCAGCACTTGGGAGGGTGAGGCAGGAAGATCACAAGTTTGAGACCAGACTGGGCCACATATGGAGACCTGGTCAAGAAAAAATTTAAAAATAAAGTGGGGGGAGAAGATGAAGACCTTGACAAGCAAACACACAAAGATACTTAGCTACACAAACAAACAGAATGCAAAGCTGAGAGTAGAGGAAGTGCGGTCTCAGTGCTGTGGCTCCTCCAGTCACTCCATACTTAAAGCTGCACACTACTGCTGCACATTCCTGTGACCCAAAGCAATAATCCTGCCTGGGTGGGGTTTTCTTTTACTTGGAGTGGAGAGAGAATATCCTGACCAAAGGTAAATGTGAAGTTTCCAATGATGAAAGAATAGTTTTGGAGAATAAGAAAGAAATAAAACAAAAAATGCCAAGAAAGGAGGGAGGTGTGGCAGTGAGAAGGTGTGAGAAGAATGGAAGCCACATGAAGGGCATTCTGCTTTCAGCGTCCTTACCTGTTCAACACTCCGTCTGAAACCAGAGCTTCCTTGGGATGGAAATACTTGTAATATACATTTCTAACCACAGCATCTTATGGGGCAAAAGAGGAAGGTACATTTTAGATTAGAAACAACCTTGATATAGAGACTCTTCCAAATTTTGAAATAAAAAGAAACCTAGAACTCTGTTCAAATCCTCTCCACTTTACCAAAGGTTCAGAGTACTAGTGAGCTCAGGATGGTGACCATGTCACCTTGGGAGAGTTTCCCCCAGTGCATCAGCAGGTCGAGATGGCTATGATACAAACATTAAATAGGCAATCAGTACCTTTGTTTAAAACACTAACAACCATATCAATGGCAGTTCAGCGAGTAAATGCACTTGCCACCAAGCCTAACAGCATGAGTTTGAACCTTGAAATCCACATGGTGGAAGGAGAGAACCAACTCCCCCAAGTTGTCCTCTGACCTCCACATGTACACTGTGGCACACACAAATAAATAAAATGTAGTGAGATAATAGTCACCATTATTAACCATGATTCCATATTCTTCTAGAAGAAAGTTGATATTGGTATCAAATCTGGATTCTCCCCCTTCTCCCAGCATCACAAGGATATCCCCACCATTGTCAAGGTACTTCTTCAGGACTTCAAACTATGTAAAGGGAAAAGCAGACTATGAATATGGTCAAAAGACTTTTGTTTAAAATATCCATACCATGAATAAGGCCTTAACTAACAAAAAAAGAAACATTTCAAATTTATAAACTACTTAAACGTTCTTAGAATAGTATAAAATTTTCTCACTGTAGAAGAGCATCTCCTGTGTGTGTGGTGGTGCATGTTTTTAATCCCAGCAAAGGCAGAGGCAGGAGGATCTCTGTGAGTTAAAGGCCTGTCTGGTCTACACAGTGAATTCCTGGATGCCAGTAGAATGTACAGAAACCCTGTCTCAAAAAGAAAAAAGGAAAGCACAAAAGCACACAAAGACCCATCTTCAAGTTTAACTTTGAACATCAAAGCTCTAAAACGCTCAAACAGGGACGGGGACCGTAGCTTAGGTGATAGAAGTGCTTCCCTAACAGACACTAGATCGTGGATAAAACAGTGGTGCACACCTGTAAGAGGACCCAACACTTAGGAGTAGCATCCACCTGTATTATAAATGCCTCCATTGTTGTTATGGGTTTCAGTGCATTGATAAGCTGAGCATGGTGGTGCACGCCTGTAATTCCAGCACTCAGAAAGTGGGCGTAGGATTACAGATTTGAGGCCAGTTTAGGCTACACAGAAATTTTCCTATGTTCAAAGTAAATTTAAGTCAAAGGCATATTCCTGACCCTTGCCTACCTTCCCTGTGGGTTAAGGACTCCATGGGTTACCACAGTTTATCGCCACAAGGTGAAATGACTACTCCAGGCAACATGGTGGGTCTAGAAGGGAGACTCCAACCCACAAATTCTGGCCCTTGCTTGCTCCTGGCCTCCTCTCTTATTTTCTATATGAATATTCTGTACAAATATTTCTTACCTCAGCTGCAGTAAATTTTTCCCTCGGTCCAGCTGTAATCCATAGTTTCACCCCAATTAACTTCTCAGATGTGATTTCATCTTTTAAGCTAGAAATAAGATTTTAAGAGCAAGTTAGATCCATAATTTAAACCAATTTATGAATTATTGGCCTCTTAACTATATGGCACCATAAAGGCACAGAACAGCCTCTCTCCTGAAGTGAGAGACCCTCTAACGAGTGCCCTAGAGGCATCTAGCCTCAGTTGAGATCTCCCAATAAGCAAATGAGTTCAAATTAACTCATACTAAAGTATAAAGAAGTCTTCCAAATATTAATTTAATCAATTCTTCTATTAGTTTCTCTATATTTTAAGACAGGGTCTCATAGAGCCCAGGCTGGCCCCAAACTTACTATGTAGCCAAATCTAAACTCAAACTCTTACTCCATCTACCACTATTTCCCCAGTGCCGAGATTACAGGCACATGCCACTAAGCCTGGCTCTAACCTTAATCTATACAATGATATGTTTTCACTCACTGAAAAAAAAAACAAAACTTAAGGACTGGAACTGGAACTTAGTACTTGCCAAGCTTATGCAAGGTTTTGGTTCAATCTTCATGACAAGGGGGAAAATTTAAAGAAGGCACATTTAAAAACAGAGACAGTCTCATTTAACTCTCGCTTTTCCTTCCCTAAACTGAAATTTTAAATCAACTTAAAATATGGAGAATAACTTCTCTGCCTTTTGGCTGAGACCAAGTATAAAATATGGAGAAAACTTCTGACATCTTAAAATACTACATATGCATAATTATGAATCTTTGATTTTATGGAGGCAACTTAATAACATTCAGTTTGATCTTCAAAATATTAACTGAGTAATCTTTAAATTGAGCCCCTCCCACTTAAACAATGGAAATTAAGAAATCACTATTCAGTTCTACTGTAGGCCACCATTAGCACTTAGAAAGCAGTGTCCAAGATCATGGTCACCTCTGAATCTTCCAATTACTCCGAAGTCTTTTCTGCAAAGATTTGTAGCCAGTATTGGTGGTAAACACCTCCTTTTTGTATGCATTGAAAACAATGGTACTCCGCACCTCCTTCTCCATGGTTACCTGATGAAGACAAACCAGAGAAGCAGCATTTTAAAAGTGCCCTGTAATGCTGGCGAAGGATACAGCTGCACCTACCTGTAAAACCCTAATGATTCTCAAAGGCTGAGAGTGAAATGCATAATCATAGCTGGAAAAACCAGTGGCCAAAGCCAATCCAGCCTGTGCCTGGCTCTCGCTTCCGGGCTGTTCTCTGGCGCCTACCAGCCTACCTTCATGACCTTGCCAACCACCACCCTCCCGTTGTCCACCAAGATCCTATTTCCAAAGGAACTCCTCACTGCTCACTACCGTCAAGTATTGAGTATAGCTCTCGAGATTTTAGGCATAACTTAATTTTATGAAATAAGACCTTATCATAAATGCTATTCCAAAATATATCATGTATTTGACACCCTTTATTGTCAATACATATAGACCAACTCTTTCAAATAACTACATAGTATTGTCTTAAGGATGTTGCACAAATATTTAACCAATCATAACTTTAGTTACATGTCTAAAAACATTCCTTGATTTGTTTCTCAGTTTTTATTTATTTTTTGGGATAGGGTCTCACTATGTAGCCCTGGCTGTCCTAACACTCATTATGTAGACCCACCTGCCTCTGCCTGCAAATTCAGAAATTAAAGGCCTATATCCCTATGCCTGGCTAGGCCCATTTTATTTTTATGTGTGTGTATGTACATGTGCCTACAGAGGCCAGAAGGCAGATCCCGTAGGGACAGACTTAAAAAGGGTTATGAAACCTGATGTGCTGGGAACCAAACCAGGGTCCTCTGCAAGAGTAGTACATACCAACTACTGAGCCATCTCTCCATCTCTCTCAAAACATTCCGAATGTGAAGTTTTGTGTATTTTGCAGCATTAGATTACTATCTGTTGAATGGTTAAAAATGTGCAAACTGCCCTCCAAAACACTAATAGTTTGTACTTTCATTAACAATTTGTTTCCATTCAACATGATTTTCCAGTCTTTGTCATCTTTACCAACAAAACAGAAAAGTATCCCTATTCATGGCTTTGCTTTTCAAGGGTTGTTACTGGGTTAAATGTGATTTGAAATTTATTTTTTTGCTTGTTTGTTTGTTTCTCAAGGCAGAGTGAAACAGTCATGGCTGTCTTGGAACTCGCTTTGTAGACTGGGCTGGCCTCGAAATCACAGAGATCTGCCTGCCTCTGGCTTCCAAGTACTGGGATTAAAGGCATGTGCCACCACCACCCGGCAGTATGATGAAATAAAACCTTAACACTGTCCTACACCTACCTTCCCCTGGATATGAGACATTTCTTTGTGAAATCTATCAATGCTATGCGCACTATCTACCTATAGTTACTCAGGAATCTGTCAGTCAGATCAATGGTTTTGGCATCACAGGGCTGTTATTCAATGAACCAAAACAATATCCTGATACCATGCATGTCACAATGTCTATGTCATTCTCCTTACTTCACGGCACCACACAGGCACTATCTAATAGATATTATCACACAGGTATTATCTCAATCACAACACTAAGTCTAGAATAAGATATTTTGAGAGTTTATTCTCTCATATTCACCTAAGTTTTACTGGTTTTTTAGATTTATTTTTTATTATGCATATAGTGTTTGCCATGTATGGCTGCACACCAGAAGAGGACACCAGATCTCATTAAAGATGGTGGTGAGTCACCATGTGATTGCTAGGAATTAAACTCAGGACCTCTGAAAGAGCAATGAGCCTCTCTCCAAGTCAATTTTACACTTTTTTAAAATGTATTTATTTATGAACGAGTGCTCTGTCTGCATGCCAGAGGAAGGCATCAGATCCCATTACAGAGGGCAGTAAGCCACCAGGTGGTTGCTGGGAACTGAACCCAGGCCCTCTAGATAAGCAGCCAGTGCTTTTAACCAGAGCCCTCTCTCCAGCAACAGTAATATGAGTTCTTATAAACATAAACAAACACAACACACAGGCACGCACAGCGTGTTACTGTTGGTGGTTTCAGCATCCTGACAGTCTCAGAGCAGCTCCTGAAGACAAGAGGAAACTGCTGCCTTGGTCACTGCTCATTTTCTTGTCTGTGTCTTCTGCTCATTTTTCCATTGGCTTTTATGTCACCAAACAAAACTTTCAAAATTTTATTTGCCTTTAGCCTTGGCTTCTGGTAACCTTTTGACTTAACTTTATAGGTCACATGTTTTATATATCCAAAAGTATTAACATATCTCTTTTTGACTTCTTTTTCAAAAAAAAAAACTTTTAAGTATATCCAATGATGTTTTCTTCTTGAACTTTCACGATTATTCCTTTTTATTAAGATTTTATTAGCATATATTAATCCAACAATTTCATTCGAGCACTTAATGTATTTTTTTTATCATACTTCCCAATTTGTGATCTTGTCCCCCTCCCCACTAATCCTTCTCTTCCCTCAACTGTCATATCTTCTTTCTTCTTTAAAGAAATGAGTTTACTTAGGACTGCTTATGGGGCTGTGAGACATGGATGGCAACACTGTACCACTGAGGAAAACGTCTCTCCCTGCCCACAGAGGTTCAGGGAGGGACAAGGCCTCCTGAGCCCTCCCCTCTCCATGAAATAATGTTGACAGGCCCCGTTTGGGATAAGTCTTGTGCAGATAAATATGACCTAATTTTTTAACACTGAAATCTGGGACCTCTGTGGACTGAAGAGATGACTCAGTAGTTAAAGGCACTGGCCACCAACCCTGAAAAACTCATAGAACAACTCCTGCAAGTTGTCTTTTGACTTCCACAAGTACTCAGTGGCATGTTCACCCACACATATACAACAAATAAATGCAAATTAAGTTAAAAACACTCTTGGTCCATTTGAAGCTTACCTTGATGCTCAAAACGAGCATCATTATTTTTCCCTAAATTACCAGAAGACTGTTCAATACCAATCCATGTTTTCAGAGCTGATAGGAGATTCCTTCAATACATTTTTTTTTTTTTTGAGACAGAGTCTCATAGCCCAGGTTAGCCTCTAATGTACTATGCAGGGGAGAATGACCTTGAGCTTTTTAATGTCTTAGCTTCCTGGGTGCTGGGATTACAGGCACACTGCCAGCATGCCACTACCTTTCCAATGGCATTTATTTTTCTGTGCTGAGATCAGACACCCGGGCCTCATGCAGGCACTCGGTGCTAACTAAGCTACATCCTAACTCCTTCAGTGAAATAAAAAACATTTTTGCCATGTTGATTTCGCCACGTAACAATGCTACATTTTTATGTTCCATGGACAATTTTAACGGCCACAACGAACCCATGCATCACAGTACTGGAATTATATTTTTCTGGTTTTGGGACTTTTCTACGCCTCCCCCCTTTTTTCTCTAAAGGGCAGATTTCCGGGAAAAGCAAATAACCTGCTTTGGGTATTGAATGGTTCTTAAAGGAAGAATACACTTCGAGTTTACAGTTTATTGTAGTTTGGCCTCCGGTGAGAGCAGTAGATGTGGGGTCCTGACGTTTGGGTTAGAATAAGGGCCAACCTTATTCTCTTATTTTCTCTTCAATAACCTTACTAGGTAAATCATATTTTGTCAGAGTGACGAAAAACCAGGGGTGGTAGCAAGAATAGCCGAGTCTAAGCCAGATGGCTCCTCGTCCGGGGTTCTTTCATAGTGTGCAGGACGACGACAAATCCGCGGTCTGAGGAGCTAGAGATTACATATCACTTCCAGGACCCTTCCCAGCCCATTTACGCGCCCTCAGTTTACCTCCGCCGACCTCAGGTTTCCCACAAGGCAGGCCTAGAGGTCTCCGGAGCGGCGTGGCGAGGCCGTAACCACCCCCGAGGCACCCAGCGCCCAGCCGGTCCGTGCGACCCGCCCTCTCCTTACCTGAGGCCAGAAGCCGCCTGGTATCCAAGGCCGCGCGCCGAGAAGGCGTGGCTCTGGGCCCCGAGCGACTTCCGCCGCGGAGTGATGACGACAGAGCGACAAAATGGTAGAGCCAGCGAACCGCGAACGCTGGGACTGATGGGCAGGGGACAGGGCTGATACCGGCCTGGGCAGTTCCCTCGGGTGGAGGGAGCAGCCAGGCTTGAGGACTCAAGACCGATGTAGGCCCCCAGGCTCCCAAGGGCGGAGGCTGTAGGCAAGCCACAGCCCGGCCAGGCTGCAGGCGCAGGGCGTCTTGGCAGGTGTTGGGAGAGGCCGAAACACCTGTCGGTCTGCAGCACCTGGGACATTTGGGAGGCCAGGTGTCCTGAAATGCCAAATTACCAACATTTAGAAATAGAAATTGCCGCAAGGAGTTTGGGGAAGCATTTGGGGCAGAGGGAAGTCCTTGCGCAAAAGATTACCATGGAAATAAGAAAGGCCTGCACCCACAAACAGGCCTCTTCTAAAGGAGAGCGCTCTGTCTTCATCGAGAGGGCTGCAGCCTCAAGGCTTGAGCAGGCCAGTGTAGGAACCCCAGCGGTTTTGATTTTCACTTATATATGTCTTCATGTACAGAGCAATAAACGTTTAGGATATTTAAATACACAGCTTGTCCAGCATTTTCACAATTATGGTCACCACGAATTTAAAAAGTGTGAAGGAGCATTATCTCTTCCCTCCCACTGAAGAGTAAACCCAGAGCCTTCCACATCAAGCCCTTAACCATTGAGTTAATTCCCAGTCCGGAGACTTTTCTACAGAGTGCTGCATAGCCCGCCAAATTGAATACAGCCTGCGTGCCTTTAAGGATGCAAATGAAAGCGTTCTGGAGTCAGGAGAGTCACGGGAACGTGCTAGAAGTGCTAGGAGACGGGAAAAAGAGCGCCTCCCAGCGTATGTCTCCCACTCTACCAGGTTGCAGAAAGAGCTAGAGAGTTTTAGAGGCAGCTGGTCCCAAATCCACTTTCTGACTATGACTTGTATGAGGTGAATTTGGACAAGCTGCTTAATCTGAGCGTGTCCCACCCATAGATTGAGAATAGTCCCTAAATGCTTATTGAGGATTATAGATAATGTTTATAAAACTTGGGATGGGCCCCACGAGATGGCTCAGCTGGTAAAAAGGCACTCGCTGCTAATCCTGACAACCTGAGTTAATCCTTGAGTCCCCATAATGGGAATAGAGAACTAATTTCTGTAAGTTGTCCTCTGACCTTGACTTCTATCTTATGGCATGTTGTGTGCACGTACACACATACAAATATAAATTTTTTTAAACCTGGCATATTTCAAAAAGCATAGATACAACACAATCAGGTTACTAGTGTATTTGTTCTTCATCTTTATTTCCTATCCTGGTGAAATATTCTGTGACTTTTACAATCTCAGAACAGAACCAGCTGATGTGGACTTAGCAGATGCTCCGATTTCTGACAGTTACACTCTGTAAGTGGGAATATTTGTTCCTGCCTTGTGTCCCACGTCTAGCAGTTAACCTGCACTAGGTGAGATGGCAGTCTGTTCCTTTCCATATCAAAGCTTAATAGTAATTCCTGACTCAGCTGTGGTCTCTAATAGATCAATGTTACCGGTGTTTGATTTGTTTTCTTAGTCCCAGCCTTGCCTCCCCCACTTAATTCCTAGGACTGAGGACAGAGGGAACAAAACTGGGAGGAAAGGAGTGGAACCAAGCATAAGGGAAGAAGCAATAAAAGTCACCAGCGTACGCTGGTTCAAAGACAGGCCTTCCATTGTCCCCAATGCAGCAAGGTAATGAGGCCACCCTAAAGTTTGTGAAAAAGACACTGAAAACAGAATGACCCACCTCACGTGCATACCTGACTGTAAACAACATGCTCACATTCTCGCCATCCAGAATTACCTTTTGAAATGACAAATCTCGAACACCTGGAGTTTAGTGGCTAGCCAGGAGATTGACCTGAAAGGCTTCAACTCTATACTGGAGATCAAGCACATGAACTTGACAGCCAGGCCCATACCAGGAGTGAGGGGCTCTCCAAGACCCCTCTTTATCACTCTCTGGCTTGTTCTAGACAATCCTTGCCTTGATATCAGGGGGTTTTGGTTTTTTTTTTTTAAGATGTAGTCTCACTGTGTCTCCCTGACTGCCTGGAACTCACTATGTAGACTAGGCTGTCCTAGAACTCACAGATCCACCCACCCCTCCCTTCCTGGTATTAAGGACATATGCACTGTGCCCATCTCTCATGATAGATGCTGAGTCTTTTCTTGGCTCTAACAGTCTAAATGAGGAGTAAACCTGTCCAAAGGTTACTGGGTAGAGCCTTAGGTCAAACAGTTCCACATCCCACACTGTGTTAATGGTGTGGCCTTCAAGCAAAGAACAGCTTCTCTGACCTTGTCTCTTGATTGGCAAAAGGAGGAGTAATTCCTACTTTAGGGTCATCTGGATGAACATTGTTAACAGACATGAACAAATGTTCCACAACTTGCCCAAGAGAAGTGTTCTGAGGCTGACTTTGGACAACTAAGTAAAAAAAAAAAAAAAAGAGTGTATTAAAAGACTTGGAAATCTTCTGTAGGCCCATATTTCTATATGATGTGGCAACCAGGCTCTAAAACCATAGTCAGTATCTGAGGATGGTCACGCAGCCTACCAGACAGGCCGTCACTACCTACCAAAAGGTCATGGTGTGGTTTTGCTCCTTTCTTTGTAATTTGGAGGATGCCTTATAGAGATGCTGATTCAAACCTACATGACAGCTAACATACATGGCAGACAAGTAGATGCAGACGTGACAAAACACCGTTCACCTGATTACCTAGGAGACAGAATGCTAATGTATTTCCCACTGAGTTAAGTTTTGGTATAAAGACTGTTCGGAGAATAAACGGGAGGAATTTCTTCAGGATGTGAACCCAGGATTTCATGAAGGACAACTGAGAAAGAATCTCCCTCCTGTTGAAACCGTGTGAGTCATGTCTTTATTCCCGTCTCCTCCACGCCAGTCCAAAGAGAGATAGTTTATGTTGGGGTCTGGTAGAGAAATAATTTATGGTCCAGGCTAGCACCGGACTCCGACAATCTTCAAAGAAAATCTTGAGGCTTCCAGGATCAGCACTGCAGCCCTGGTATGCTGAGGGCTGGCTGTTACAATCTGCGCTGTCACCTCTTCTACAGGAGGAACTCAAAAGAGTCTCCAGTCCTGTCCTTGGGCCCAGGTTGGCACAGATGCATCTCTGGTCCACATGCCTTGCTTGAGCTCGGAGGATGAAGAAGCCAGAATCTGGCAGTGTTTGCTTCTATAAATGGAGGTAGCCACCTCCCCCCCTCCACACACACACACTCAAGTCTCAAAAGTAGGGGCTTCCTTGAATTATGAAAGGTGTTGAGGCAACTATACTTAGTAACAAATATCCAGTTTATCAATACTACCCAAAACAAAGATACTGTCCATACAGAGCAATGTGAAACTGAAGGCAATACACTGCAGCTCATCAGTTTACACTGAAATAAAAACTCACATACCAAGATGTCCTTTCCCAGAGTGCTCGTGGCCTATATAACGTTCTTCCCCTTTCCCTCAGCATTTGAACGCCCTTGCTATGAGAGGTAGCTTGTGCCCAGGCTCCATTAAGTAGGGCTGGGGATTTATGACATGCTAAAAGAAGCCACTGAACTGGGCTTCTGGGAAACTCTTTAATGGTGTCCTTTTGTAACCCACTCCTGTCTCATCCCTCTTTTCTCTTGCTTAGAGCACAAAGGTGGCTATGGTATCAGCAACCATGTTGTGATCATGTAACCCTAATATTCAAAGCTATTTTAGTTTGGATCTGAAGTGTTTTCTGAAGGTTCCCCTGTCCAGTTGATGGGGTTTTAGTATATGGTTGGGTCACGGGGACCCAGGCTTCTTCAGTGATTTAGTCCATTCATAGATTCGTAATTGTATGGCATGGAGAGGCGATGGAAAGGTAACTAAAACGTGGGCCCTGCTTGGAGGGCATTGGTCACTTGGGACGTAACTCTGAAGGTAAATCTTATTTCCAGACCAGTCTTCTATTTCTGCTTCCTGGTAGGAAGAAGGTAAGCAGCTTTTCCATGCCACTCCTTCCACCGAGGTGACTCAGCTTTGCCTAAAGACCACAGCAATGGGACCAACCAGCCATGGATGGAAACCTCTGAAGTGGTGAGCCCGAGGAGATCCTCTTTTCGTTACCTTTCTTGGATATTTTCTCACAGCAGCAGCAGCAACAACCACCACCACCAAACACAGGAGTCATTTCTCAAGAAGAGCAAATCAGAACAACAGACGCCTGGTACTCGGTGACCTGATCTGCCGGCCTGAGTGGGGACTCGGTGACCTGTCCTGCCAGCCTCAGCGGGTACTTGGTGGCCTGTCCTGCAGACCTGAGTGGGTACTCGGTGACCAGTCCTGCACTGTTTTTCATGTGACAGAAAGCACTTCGCTCTTCTTTGAGTCATCAAACTCATTGTGTCTTGCTGGCAGCAGAAGGTTTCCCCTGCAGGTGCCGGCTGGTCTTGGCGGATTTGCAAGCGCTTGTCGCTTATGAGTCCAAGATGTTATCATCCTGTGCATAGGAAAATCCAAGGAATGCACTTGAGGCCCCAGAACTGCTGGCCATGGTGTCAGGGGTGCAGCCAATGGACTTGGACACAGCTTCCTGGGTGAACTCTGGGTCAAAGTGTTTCAAGTCAGCAGGTCCTTCCTGTAAGTAGAAGCCAAGGGTGAGAACGACACTGGGATATGAGTCACAGAGGGTCCCAGGGCCTGGGAGAGGGATTCCAGGCCTTCCTCTCTGAGTGAGTGTCTCCTGGTCCTTCATATCTGATAGTGATTGTCTCGTGCTCTGCACCAATCCTCAGATAAGCCACTAGTCAGTGTATGCTTCCTAAATGCTCACCACAGTCCCGGTTTATAGCTCTGGGAATATGGGAGGGCAGAGCAGAGTGTTGTAAAGAGGGTGGTGGGCTGTGTTCCCGGCACCCGGCTGCCTGGCTAGCTTACACCCAAAATAACTACACAGAAACTGTATTCATTTAAACACTGCCTGGCCCATTAGTTCTAGCCTCTTATTGGCTAACTCTCACATCTTGATTCAACCCATTTATAATAATCTGTATGTCACCACGAGCTCGTGGCTTACTGGGAAAGATTCAGCATGTCTGACCTGGCAGCTTCATGGCAGGCGGCTCTCTGCCTCTGCCTCCTTTCTCCCAGCATTCTGTTCTGTCTACTCCGCCTATCTAAGCTACTGTCCTATCAAAAGGTCAAGGCAGTCTCTTTATTTAACCAATGAAAGCAACACATAGAAAGAAGACCCTTCTACACCAACAGAGCAAGCCTCTACTTTGACTTTCAAGGACCTTGTATGATGGAGGAGGAGGTAGGAGGATCATTTAGGGACTACTAAGTCCTAGATAAGAGACAAAATAGGGTAATGTGGTGAGACCCTGGGGCTGCTCAGCGATATTGGAGGGAGATCTGTACGGGAAATGGCAAAATGGATCACAGACAAACAGCACATCTGTGCACACCTGAAATCCATGCTCTTGGGAGGTGAGGCAGGGGGATCAGAACTTCAATGTCATCGTCAGCTACAGAAGTTTGAGTTTAGCCAGGAGTACACAAGATCCTGTCTTTAAAAGACATGATGCTAGGCATAGTGACACAGACCTTTAATCCCAACGCTTGGGAAGAGAGACAGGTGGTTTTCTATGAGTTCGAGGCCAGCCTGGTCTACCTACATAAAAAGTTCCAGGACAGCCAGGGATATATAGATAGACCCTGTCTCAAACAAAACAAAAAGAAAAGAAATAACAATAGATTCTCTAATTCCACTCCAGAGACAGACTATATATAACATCTTTTTAATACGGGCCAGTCATGTGACTGGCCAATCAGATACTGCCAAATAACTAAGCAAAGGTTTGCAAAGGGTACCTCAGAGGAGTTGTCTTTCTTGGTACTCTGAGGCCACCACGTATACAAACTCAGACTGGCTTGATGGAGGTAAAGAGGATTCAGGAAACAAACACACGTGAGGTAATTCCAGGCCACCAGCATCAGCTTTTTCATTACTGACCACGGACCTGAGGACTCCACAGGAAAGAGTTGAGCTGATCTACTCTAAAAACCCATAGGATCCAAATAGAAGACTGTTGCCCAGCAACTGTAACGATGGCTCGGTAGTTAAGAGTGCTTGTTGCTTTTGCAGAGGACCCAAGTGTGGTTCCCAGCAGCCTTTGGTAAGCTTACACAACCACCTGTAACTCCAGTTCCAGGGGTTCTGATGCCCTCCTCTGCTCGGCTTGCACCTCCCCACATACCCACCTACACACACACACAATTAAAAATAAATAAATAAATAATAAAAGATTGTTATTTGAAGCCCCCTACTTTAGAGGGCAAGAGTAAACCTAGGCTAGTGTTTCTGCAGCAGAAAAGACACTGCTCCAGGTTCTAGGACATAAGCAGGTGAGCAAGCAGTGGCAGGGTCTGCAGGTGTGCTTACACGCAGGTCTTGGGCTGGGGAAACACACAAGCCACAGCTGCCAGCTTCTCAGGAGGGCCATAGGGCACAGTAGTTCGGCCCAGAGCTCAGTTCCTGAACCTCACCTATGACCCTTGCCTAACTTTGTTAGTTGTGTCGCTCTTGACAACTCAATAGTTTCCATTTTTTTTACAACTAAAGAATGTGATACTAAGTATAATGTGGTACTTCTTATACTGTGTGGACGAAGACTCCTAAGTCATAGCAGAAGTAGGAATCCCCCAGTATGACTCCCTCTGATGCCCATTGCTATATTTCCCTGTGTCCTTTCCTGGGACTCTGTGAACATTCTCTCCTGTGAACCAAAGTGCCTGAAAAGAACTGCACGCGGGTCTGATCAACTTATTAAAACAGGAGTTGTGGAGAGGGTGGAACGCTGCACTTCTAGGGCCTAGTTACAATCTACCTTGGGCTCTCCTTAGCTACTTCCCACTCCCTTAGCAGCCATTCCTTACCCTCTTCTGTGTCTGACCTAGTGTCCTGTGGCGGCTAACAGATAGAAACCTCTGGAATGTACAACAGACCATAAGGATGTCTTTAGGTATCATCTAAGACGTAGCAGAAATTTCCTCAATTTGCTGTAACCCACCTACCTAATCTTTCCACCAATATATCTGAAAAGGACCTTGATTTTATGACTTTCTTTGTTCTTTTATTATAAAATATTCATGAAACTGTTACCATGTTGGAACATGTCATTTTAGGTAACCCAAATCTATGTTTTCAGTATGTGTCACTCATATTTGGCTCCAGGATATACTATCTCTTATTGCCTCTTATTTGAGAATTGTATTGACATCCTCCACAGGTACGTGTTCAACACTATGCTTACTGTCATTTTGTGTCCCAAGAAATAAAACTGGGGTGTAGCTCGGTGTATGTAGAGTACTTGTCTAACATGTGTGAGGATCAGGTTCCATTCCCAATAAGACAAAAAGGAAAAAAAGTACTTCGGACCCTGAACTAAATGTATCCTATCTGATGTTTATCAAGAACCTGGTGCTGGAACCTAGTCCCCAGCAAGCAGTGTCTTATCTCAGACTGGTGGCCTTGTGTGGCCCCTGGGATCTGCAGTCTTTCTGCTAGTCAGCATGAGTGATGGGCCAGATCTGTCAGAGTGAGCAAGGCTGACATGTGAAAGCTGAATGTTACAGAGAAGAAAACACTTCACCTAAGGAAAACTCTCCAGCAATCATCCAAACGTCAGAAAATGATGATCTCGTCCCAAGAGCAAATATCAGCATGGCCCCCGGATCTTGGTTCTAGGCTTGTCTCTGGAAACTGTGTGTTTGTAGAGATTATAGGCACTTGGTGATAGCTTCACACCTATACAGACAGGCTAAGAGGCGGCAGCAGCTAGTGTTCCTTAAATCTGTCCCCAAACTTCCTGCCTATATGCAAACCCCACTGTCAATAATCTCAGCATTGTTGGTCATGAGACGTATGGTTCTTTGCCTTTGCAGGGAAAGCCAACTTTAGCCTATATAGGCACCATCAACTGCTTCATCATATTTATGAAGTTGCCTGCTTTTGCAGCTTCTCAAATTCATTTTTATTTCTAATGTAACACTATATTAAACATAATCACATGCCAGGGGAGGTATTGCATGCCTTTAATCCTAGCACTTGGAAGACAGAGGCAGGTGGATCTCTGAGTTTGATGCTAGCCTGGTGTGCATAGTGAGTTGCAGGACAGCCAAGGTTGCATAGAAAACCCCTGTTTCAAAACAGAAACAGAAACAAAACACCCAATTGTGGTGGTGGTGTGTGTGTATGTGTGTATGTGTGTGTGCACACTGTAGGGACCAGTATCAGATCAGGGTACCCCAAGACCAAGTTCTCAGCACAAAGGGGTTTATTTGCCCTACAGAGACAAAGGGCAGAAAATAAGAGACAAAGGCATAAGATAGAGGATGAGGAGAAGGGGGAGGTAACACGGGAGAGGGATAAGGGGGCACAAAGGACTGTCTGTGAACAGAGAGGAGACAGATATAGCCATAGATAAATGGTGGTTCATAAAGGTAAAATGGGGAACCCAATGTTAGAATGAGGTTCATTTTAATTGGACAAGTTAATTAGGTGAGCCAAAGGGGGCTTTGATTGCTGGGCTCCAGTACTTTGATAGCTGGATCTTGGTAATCAGCCTTGGGAGGAAGAAGTGGCCAAATAAGGGAATAGAGGCTGGTGGGTAGCTTTAGGAAAGTAATCTAACAGTTTTTATCAAGGCAGAGGCAATGGGGGAGGACAAGAAACACACACACACACACACACACACACACACACACACACACACACACACGAAACTGGTGCTAGCTGGTAGTTCACTCTTGCAAACCCAGTATTCAAAATGCAGATGGATCAGCATGGTTTGAGGCCAGCCAGAGACACAGGGATGGTGAGATAGTATCTAGGATAGCCCAGTACAGAATCTCACAAAAAAGGGGAAAAGAAATCTAGTGTCACATTCATGGGCAGGAACTCCACAAAGGAAAAATACAAATAGGGAATGATAAATCCTGGCAGTATTCAGGTGTGGAAGGAAGTCCACCAACAGTGGTTTCCCTTGCCTGGCGAGACACCCAGCCATTTCCCTATTGCTGCTGCCAACTTAATTTTACACACTTCCTACGAGAAATGCACATTGTTTTTATCCCCAGAATAAGGCTGTGTAGGAGAATCTTGAGCTGAAGGCTAGCCTGAGCTACTACCTCTCAAAAATAAACACTGTATCAGTTCTGTGGTGCGGTTACAGTGCTGGAGATGATGGAGCAGCCCACAGCTCATCCTTCTAGGGCTGAGCTAACCATCAGGGGCCAGGGTGGCTAGAGCCAATTCTCATTCTTGCTGCTTTGGATGAGACTCTTGGCCCCTTCAGGTTCCCCAGCTATATAAAGAGAGTTGGCCTAGATCCTACCAGCTCTGGGAATCCAGAAACCAAAATCTGGAGAGATCCTTGTGCTCACTTACCACGTTTGGGTTGAAGGGTGGAGTTAGCCTCTTGTGGTACAGGTCATCCCAATTTATGGGACTGAAGAATACATGGTTCTTTATGTCGAGCTGCAGGGAGAAGACACTGGTCAGCAGTCCTCATCACATCCACTCCCCAACTGGTGCCCACAACTGGCCACCAACTAGACAGAACTCTGCAGCTCTGACTGGTTTGCTCAGCCCAGAGAGCATTCTGTTGACAGACAGCTTACTTTGCATCATCCGAACCCAGATTTTCCCCTATAGCCCCAGGTGCCTTCCACAGCTAGGTCTCAGCACCCACACCTTACCAGGCTTTGGCAGCATGTCTGTGAGCAAGACTGCAGAATTGGTTATTGGGGGAGAGGGTATGCAAGTGGAGCTTGAAGACAGCCTCCCACCTCGACGCACATTAATGCATCCTGATTCTTCCAAAATGCAAGCCAGAGAAATAGAACAAACCTGCTCATCAAAGACGACGCAAGAAATAAAGCCCTAAGAAATCTCTGTAGATTCCCAGAGACTCAGAAGTGAGGAATGAGTCCTGGGCATGTTTTTACGCTTTGTTCCTAAACTGCCTTTCCTCCCTCTGTCTGTTTCACATTGAACAATTCTCCAACACCTTGCATCAGTATTGCCTCTCAGAGGTTTGATTTCTGTGAACACATAACTTGTCTCAAGAGTCACAGGCACGCATGCTCTAAGGTGCAAATTCCTCTCTGGAAAGAAGGGATCTGTCTTCGCAGAAGCCCGGATCGGATCTTTAAGCCGGGTAGGGAAACAGATAGGCAAATAGCACATCACAATACCTGGCATGGCGATCTTTTCAGTGTATATAGTGCTTACAAGCTCTTGTTATATGACATGGGTCAAAAAACTGTGCTACCCACAGAATGGGGGTGGGCAGCCCTGGAGCCTATCCGTTAGCTGCTGAGGCCATCTGGACTACACTCACCATCTTCTAACTTAAAACAGGGTCTTACTATGTAGCCCTGGCTGGCTTGGAACTCACTTTTCAGACAGGCTGGTTTAAAACTCACAGAGTCTGCCTTCCTCTGCCACGTGTAGAGGTCAGAGAACAACTTTTGGGAGTCAGTTCTCTCCTTTCATTCACCATGTGGATCCCGGGGATTGAACTCAGGTTGTCAGACTTGATATCAGTCACCTTACACCCAAACTATCTTGTTGTCCCTGAAATGATCCCACATTGAGTAATAAATAAGATTTTTGTTTGTTTGTTTGTTTTGTTTTTTGAGACAGGGTTTCTCTCTGTAATAGCTCTCACTGTCCTGGAACTCATTCTGTAGACCAGATTGGCCTTGAACTCACAGAGATATACCTCCCTCTGCTTCTGCCTCCCAAACTTTGGGATTAAAGGTGTGTGCCACCCCACCTGGTTTAAGATTATTTTTAAAATTGATGCTTTAATCTTTTTCTCTAAACATATATGTGTCAGAACAGGAATGAAAGGGACAGACAGACTATGACGTCTATGACTTACTTATTCCCATATCGCATGTGTCCAGCCAGGGGTCTGGCAAAGTGAATTGCTCAGATATTTGTGAAAAGCAAGACACTTATGCAGTTTCTCTGCACAGAAGCAAGAAGAAGCTTCTGAAACCTTCCTCTGCTCAGCAAAGACATTCTCCTTCTTGCCATTCTCCTCCTTATGCAGGACTGGTACACATGTTGTGCTTACAGCTGGGACGCCTCCATCCAGTTCTTTGCTTGGCTCCCCATATTCGCAGCTCAGCTTGTTATGTCTTTAGAGGGGACCTGCCTGGCCATGCCAGTGTGAAACAGCACTGTCCCCATGAACCTTCACTGTCTGTCTCTGCTCATCATTTATTTCCTTCCTGAAGTGTGTCACACTTTGTGATCAGTGTACAGAATCTCTGGTTTTTGTCAGTCTCCTTCTACCTTCAAGCTTAATCACGTCAGAGACCCAGGCTACTCAACTCCCAGCACCTACCTCAGTGCTAGGCCAAAATAAGGATTCTGCAAATATTGGTTACCTAAAAGCTGTATTTTTTTTAAAAAAAAGTAGTCAGGGGCAGGAAAGATGGTTCAATTGCTAAAGTGCTTGGCAGACAAGCAGGAGGACCTGAGCCTGGATTCCTGACACCTATGTAAAAGCTGAGAATGATGGCATATTCTATAAACTCAGAGTCAAGGAGGCAAAGACAGGCTGGCCAATCAGTTAGCGCCAGGTTCCGTGAGAGACCCTGTCCCAAGAAATAAAGTGGACAACTGAAGACATTTGACGTCAACTTCTGACCTCCACACACACATACACACATATATCACATACAAAAAGAACACACACACACACACACACACACAGACAGAGACAGAGACAGAAAGGAGAGAGAGACAGAGAGACACAGAGTTCAACTGGCAGAAAGATCACTTCTTGGGAAATGCACCAGCAGCTCCTGGCTTTAAAGGACAGCAGAAGGCAGGTGCTTCTGAGCTGTCCCTGCAGGAAGGGACCTGCGCTCTTCCGCTTGGTCACTTACAAAGTCTGCCTTGGAGCCCAGCCGCTGCTTCTTGTCCTTGTGGAGAAGGCCTTGCAGGAGGTCACAGGCGGCCACTGTCCGGCCTCCAGGGATCTGGAGTGGCTGGTGCAAAATATTCTCATACATCTGGGCGACATCTTTGTCGAAGAAGGGGGGCTGGGGAGACAGGGAGAGAAGCTGGGGATTCAGTCATGAAACCATGGAAAGGGGTCTCATCAGGGAGGGTTAGAGCAAGCTGGATAGCCGGGAGTGTGTGGTCAGGCTGTGTCCAGTGCCACAGCTTGCGGGGCAGATGGGGAGAGAAAGGACCTGCAGGCTTCCAGCATGGGACAGAGGATTGCTGAGAGGGCACAGGCTTTGCACACCCACAGAGGCTTCCGGATGCCCTTTCTCTCCCCTCTCCTCCTCAGCATTTCTTTCTGGCCTCACAGCCATCTTCTGCCAGAGGCTATGGATTGGCAGACTAGAGAAGACAAGGCTAGGGACCACTGAACCACACAGCTAAGCAAAGAGCTGGACTCTAAATTACACCACGGTCTATTCCTCCTCGCTATTCCTCCAGCTCCTCTACCCACTGGTCCTTTGGAACCCTCAGCACTTACTCCTTTGACAACATGCCATGCTGGAGAATCTAACCCAAAGGAAAGTCAACCTCAGGCAGGTCCACACCGGCTTCTACTTTAACCACACAGTCCAGGACGGCTCCCAATCTACCAATGGGACCTTTCAGCCTCAGTTGCCCTCTTAGTACAACAAAAGTAACTATGCTCTGCAAAAGAGGGTGTGTTACAAAGGTAAACAGTGAAAATGACACTATTTACAAGAGATATTCATTTCTCATATTCACTTTGGCCTCATCTTTCCTTCTCAGGGTAGATGGCTAGCTCTTTAATTCCCTGCGCAAAACAAGAGTAAGCCACATAAAATGGGGGCCACCCTCAGCTTTCTCAAGCCACATGTGCCCTGTAGAGACATCTCTGTCCACTCACCAGGCCATGAAGCATCTCATAGAGGACCGCCCCTAAGCACCACCAGTCCACTGCTCGATCGTAAGGCTCTTGACGAAGCACTTCGGGGGCCAGGTACTGTTGGGGGAAGCGCAGTTATCTGAGGACGCCTGGCCTGTTTCTGTGTCTGTAAAGAAGGCACTCGAAGGGGGTTGCTACCACTGTCATTGTTTCTCCTGTGGTCATTAGCATCCATTCACCAGAGGCCAGTTTGGTGGCAGGCCCTTTGCAGTGCATTGGAGACAGACAGGAGACCAGGTGAGACAGCCCTGTACAGTCATGCGCATTGTACGTCACACAGGAATACCAGTCAGGGGGGTAAAGGGAACTACAATCGGTCTGTGATCTGCTCACCAAACCAACATGGTAATTCAGAAGCACGGCATGCCTTCTGTTTGCACATGATCACCTATAGGCTCTCTGTGTCCTAGCGCTGGGAAAGCCCTGGTGGCACCTCACAGCATAGTGGGGTGACAATGGGGCAAAGCTAAAGGAATATGTCACATACTTGTTCTGGAAACCGTACTGCATGGGAGATGGTCAGGAAATGGGTGGTATTTCAGGTCATACTGATAGATGGGAACAGGAAAAAAACTGGTACAAGGAAAAAACTACAGGCAGCGATGTGCTTCTGCCAGTCCCAAGGGCCTATTAGTGATCTCTTAGCCCGGGGTTCTCTGTAGCTAAGGAACAGAGGCCCAGTGACAGACACAGCTACCCTGAGGGATGTGTGGGTCTATGGAAGGGAAGAGAATCTTACAGCCCCGAGCCCTCTTCAGTGTGTGGGCCCAGGCAGAGCACCCGATCTGCCAGAACTTAGGCTTCCTCATCCTGAAAATGGAAACATAGTTGGAGTGGTAGCTGGAGAGACCACTTGGTTAACACTTGCTGTATAAGCATGAGGGCCTATGTCCAGATCCCCATCAGTCACGTAAAAGCCAGGTGAGATGGCTCACATATGTAGCCCCAGTTATGTGGGGTAGACCCCTGGATCGGTGGCCAGCCAGTCTACTCAAATCAACAAACTCCAGGTTCCTTTGGAGACACTGTGTCAATATAGAATGTGGAGAGTGTTTACGGAAGATACCTGACATCAACCTCTGGCCTCCATGGGCATTCATGTGCGCACGAACCTGTCCACATTCACATGAACGTGTGTACATACTACACACACACACTAAATAAAAATGGGGACATGGGAACAAGCGTAGGTCTGTGTGCCTGGCGCTCAGAGGTAGCAATCATGGAAGAAGGGATGTCTCTGACACGAGTCACAATTCCGTAGCCCCTGTTCTCTAGTGTTAGTTACACCCATTGAAGGACTGGCTGTTGTCAGACTTTGGGGTCAGCTTTATCCAGTGGTCAACCCATGCACAAACACAGACAACGGTCCCCTCTGGGAGAGGGTACCAGGCCATCGGTCCCTGAGTACCAACGGGTGGATGCCACTTGAGGGTCCAGGCACAGCTCCGCACGCTGATGGAGACACAGGGCGGTACTTAAGTCCTGATCCAGACTAAGCAGGGAGGTGCTGCTCGGCTTTGCAGCCTCAGGCCTCTGCCCCATTCTGGTGCCTGGTCACAGGGGCCCTTCAGGCCTAAGGCCCAGCTCAAGACTGGTGGAGTTCAAGGAAAGGTTTTAAACGCAAGGCAGGCCAGATAGACAAGTGAATTCCTGCGCAGACATGCAATGCTTGTTTATTTGTTTGTTTATTGTGGTGCTGGGGTTGAACTCGGGGCCTCACACAGGCCAGGCAACCACTCTACCACTGAGCTATACTACGAGTCCTGATTATTACGATTTTGAGGCATTTTCTTACAATCTTCACACCTCATCCTTTCAGTGAAGAGAAGTATGGGGATTACAGAAACCTGCAAATTTTAACCTTCCAGTCTCTCTGTCTGAAAGAGGGAGGCACATTTATGTTTAACACTTTCAAGCCCAACCTTAACTCTCGGGACACGCTCTCCTGGTCAAGCGCTTGGCCCTGTGGAGCAGTGCCGTCCCACACAGCAGCCTCTAGCCACGTGTTGTCATTGAACAATTGCTTTTGCAGAGGATCAAGGTTTTGGGTCTAGCTGGGCATGTCAACACATGCTTTTAATCCCAACAGTCAGGAGGTAGGGGCAGGTGAATCTCTGAGTTTGGGGCTAGTCTGGTCTACAAAGCAAGCTCCAGGACAGTTAGGGCTATTTCACAGAGAAACCCTGTCCAAAAAAAAAAGAAAGAAAAGAAAAGAAAAGAAAGATTTGGCTCTATTGAAACGTGGCCCATCATAGTGGACATGTACTATAAATGTAAACTGTATTCACATGCTAGATTATAATATTAATAGTTCATTATTTCAACATTTTTACATTTATGTGTGTGTATTGTGTGTGCACATGCACATGTGTGTACACATGTTACTGCATGCATATAAAGGTCAGAGGACCTATTTGGAAAAATTAGTTCTGTCCTTCTACCATTTGGGTTCTAGGCATTGAACACACACAGGCCCTTAGGCCTGGCGGCAAGTGTTCTTACCCACTAAGCAGTTTTGACAGTCCTAGTTCACAATTTTATACTGATTATATATTGAAATGTGGTTTGAGATATATTGAGTTAAATAAAATGCATTGTTAAAATTAGTTTCACCCATTTTTCCCTCCACACACACAACCCAAGACGGGATCTAACTATGTAGGCTTGGCTGGCTTGTAGCTTGTTATCTCTACCAGGCTAGTCTTGAACTCACAGAGATCTTCCTGCCTCTGCCTTTCAAATGCTGGGATTAAGGCATCTGTCACCATGCCTGGCATCACCTGTTTCTTTTTATTTTGTGCATGTGTGCGTGTGTGCACATGTGTGCATGCGTTTCTGGAAACCAAACCCAGGGCCTTGACGAGTGCTCTATCATTTGTCTACAGTCCCAGTCCTGTCCTTACTTTTCTTAAAGATTTATTTAATTTTATTTTATGGGTGTTTTGCCTATGCGTATATCTGTGTCACACGTATGCAGTGCCCACAGAGACCAGAAGAGGGTGCCAGATCCTCTGGAACTGGAGTTACTGTGGCTTGGCTGTGATTTGCCATGTGGTTGCCAAGACCTGATTCCTGATCTTATGCAAGAGCAACAAATGCTCTTAACTGCTGAGACAGCTCTCCATCCCTGTCTACACACACACACACACACACACACACACACACACACACACACACACA